TTATGAATTAGCAACAAACATAATTTTATTGTTGGGAGTTTCACCAGAACACGAGGAACATATTAAAGGGTGGCAGCATTAGGAAGGTTGAGAACCACTGCTCTAGTGGGAGGTCCATAATTCTCAGTCATAAGAGGCAGAGAACCTGGTGTTGAACAGACTCTAGTATCACCCTTCTTTGAAAGCTCAAGGTCTAGGCTTCTCAGCCTCTCTTCCCAAGAGGAGCCCAGTGGATGTAGGAAGCTCAGGACTAAAAGAACCATACTCCTGGCTGACAGAGTAGCTAAGAGCATTTGTTGCTCTTCCAGAAGACCCTTATTTTGGTCTCAGCACATGTGTTGGGTGGCTTACAACTGCCTCTAATTCCAGTTGCATAAGATCTGACAGTCTTCTTCCCTGGAACAGCCTCACATATGTAGAATCCACACAAACAGATTCCTTCCCCCCCACATACACACACATAAATAAATAAAAATAAATCTTAAACAACCATGTTCCCATGCCGAACAGACCTGGCTGACTCATTCAGCTCACACATTAGGCATGACTGGACTCTAAAGTTAATTCTGAGCTGTATATCATCATCAGGGGTTAATATTAGAAATAAACCAGGGGCTGGAGAGATGGCTCAGTAGTTAAGTAACTGGCTGCTTTTCCAGAGGGCCCAGGTTCAATCCCCAGCTCCCACATTGGAGCTCAATACTGTCTTTAACTCCAGTTCCCAGATATCTGGCACCTTCACACAGATATATATGCAGGCAAAATGCCAATACACATAAAAATAAATAAATCTTTAAACAAAAAATAAAGCTGGGCAGTGGTGGTGCACACCTTTGATCCCAGTACTGAGGACACAGAGGCAGGAAGAACTCTGTGAACTGGAGGTCAGCCTGATCTATAGAGCAATTTCCAGCCCAGCCAGGGCAACACAGAGAAACTTCGTCTTGAAAAACTGTAGAAGAAGGAGGAGGAGAAAACAAGCCAGGCTGGGAAAATGGCTCACTGGGTAAAGTGCTTTCCACACAAGCGTGAATCCTACATTTGAAACCCAGAAATCAGGTAAAGCTGAGTGTGGAAACTGTTGTATATTAATCCTAGTGTTCCTATGGTGAGCTGGGAGACAGACAAGAGAACCAATAGAAACACAGGGCCAGTTTTCCAGGCACACACAGTGGCAAAAACAATAAAGAGGAGCAACTTAGATGTCTCAGCTGGTAAAAGAACTTGCCATCAATCCTGATGATCTAAGTTTGTTCCCTGGAACTCGTGTAAAGTTGGAAGGAGAGGATAGACTCCCCGGAGATCTCCTCTGATCTCCACATGCAAGCAATGGCATGCACACACCTCTCCCTATACAGACTAAAAATACAATCCAAAGAGACCCAGCCTCTTGGTAGAAGGTAAGAAGCAATACCTGAGGCCATCCACTGACCACAACACCCATGCTCACACTCACAAAAACACATATGCACACATATCACACACACCCACACAATGCACACAACCCAGTTTAAACAACAGCAAAATTCCAAGCTGTCCTACCGTCTCACAACTCATTCAGACATCTTAAAATACTACCTGGTAGACAAATGAATTTTCAAGTTTGACACTCAATCCAGTGGCCCAGCAGAAATGGACCTAGACCAGAATGTCCAAGTCTCAAATTCTAGTCACCACTCTGCATGCCTTGGGAGTCATCCAGAGCTGGAAGTCTGTATGTAGGATTTAGCAGAACACATACTGGTCATCACTGCTCTGTATAAAGTCTTGGTCAATTCTTACCTCATCCCTCTACCTTCTCCCATTCTAGAATTGTCTTGAGCCCCATGACCATGACTATGACAATGCTGAAGTATCCCAGCACTGGTGTCATTGTGGGCTGCAGCTGATCTGAGCATCTTTAGCCCTTCTGACACTGGGGCCTCCGTCTAACCTGGGTGTGTTTCATTTTACTTGCTGTCTGTCTCCCAGGGAGATGGAAGCAATGTGAGGTTTGATTTGTTGTCGAGTGTTCATCCTCAATGCTGGCACAGGACCCACTATACAGTAAGCACTTTAAACATGCAAGTCAGAAGGAGGACATGGTGGCCCATGCCTTTGCAAGAGAGGGTGCTTTTTTCTATCTTTTTCTTTTTTCTTTCTTCCTTCCTTCCTTCCTTCCTTCCTTCCTTCCTTCCTTCCTTCCTTCCTTTCTTTCTTTCTTTCTTTCTTTCTTTCTTTCTTTCTTTCTTTCTTTCTTTCTTTCTTTCTTTCTTTCTCTTTTTCTCTCTCACTCCTAGTTCTTCCCAATCAACAACCACAAAGCAAAAGTGTTTGGGCTCTATTTGCCCAAGCAGATTGTTTTGTAATTGTTGGAGAAGCAAATGCCAGGGACAGGAAACTGCTGCGTATTGGCTGAGGGTCCAGATGCAATGGTACCTCACAGGTGTTACTGCAAGTGTTTTGGGTGCCTTTCACACTATTGGTGGCCATGACTGCCTGCAGGTTGTCACTTTCTACCAGAAGCTTGAACTTCTCCTTTCCCCTGTGCTTGTGGATATGGATGACAGCTCTGGACACCCCAGAATGCTCTATACCACCACCTACATTCCACACAGAATCCTTAAGATGCTGCAGCCTCTAGGTCCCTACTGAGAGGCTCAGTAACAGGGCTGAAGACTGGGCTGGTAACTAGTTAATGCCATTCTCAGTGCATTTATCACCAGCAGTGTGTGTACTCCAGGAGTGCCTAGGTACTGCTTGGGTTAGGGGAAAGATGGTTCAGAGGGCTGTGCCCCAACCTATAGTCAGCTTGGAGAAGGAGCAGAAAAGAGACTAATTAATAGAGTTGCAGTCTCAGAACTAAGGATAAGAGAAGAAAGGACTTTGTGCAGCTTCAGCTTTTTGATTGTCTTAGCTCAGGAAACTTTATTGATTGGAAATCTGACATCCTGATGAAATGTTCTCAAAACTTCTATAAATGTAGGATTGAAGGATTGTGATCTGCAGAGCCAGAGTCTGGCACCTCATAGACTACATATTCTTCCCTCCTCTGTCCCTCACCCAGGCCCTGACCCTGAAGGAGCTGTTTGTGATCTAGGACCACTTTGGCAGTACCTGCCTCTAAGAGCTGGATAAGAGCAACAGCCCACTCACTATGGCTGTGTGTGGCTCCAAAGGTGAGCTAAGTCCCCAGGGTTAGCTGTTTGTGTGCCCTGTCAGTGGCTTGACTCTAGAACGTGTCTTTGGTGGTTGTAATTTCATAGAAGCTCTTCATTTTTTTAAGTGCCTGTCTCTAAATCATGGAAGACTGAGTTTTTGTTTGACTTGGGTGGTGGCAATTTAAGTCTTTTGGACAGAATGATTGTTAATGTGGCTGAGTTCCAGAGTTTGAAGGTGCTTTGACCAAATTTAATGTTAGTAAATGAAAGTTCATTTTTAAATTGGATTTCTAATTGGATTGTTTAGTGTTTTGACATCTAGTTTCTTGAGTTCTTTATATATTTTGGAGATCAGCCCTCTGTCAGATGTGGGGTTGGTGAAGACCTTTTCCCATTCTGTAGGCTCTTGTTTTGTCTTATTTACTGTGTCCTTTACCTTACAGAAGCTTCTCAGTTTTAGGAAGTCCCATTTATTAATTGTTGCTCTTAGTGTCTGTGCTACTGGTGTTATATTTAGGAAGTGATCTGTGTCAGTGTGTTCCAGGCTACCTCCCACTTTCTCTTCTATCAGGTTCAGTGTAACTGGATTTATGTTGAGGTCTTTGATCTACTTGGACTTGAGTTTTGTATATGGCAATAGATATGAATCTATATGCAATCTTCTGCATGTTGCCATTCAGTTATGCCAGAACCGTTTGTTGAATATGCTTCCCCTTTCCACTGTGCAGTTTTGTCTTTTTTGTCAAAAATCATGTGTTCATAGGTGTGCAAATTAATGTCAGGGTCTTTAATTCGATTCCATTGATTTACGTTTTCATTTTTATGCTAATACCAAGCTGTTTTTATTACTATAGCTCTACAGTAGAGGTTGAGGTCCGGGGTGGTGATACCTCCAGAGGTTGCTTTATTGTGCAGAATTGTTTTAACTATCCTGGGTTTTTGTTTTTCCATATGAACTTTAGACCAACAGCTGTGGAGCCTGCATGGGACTGGACTAGGCTCTCTTCCACAAGCAAGATGGTTGTGTAGCTTGGTCTGTTTAAGGCTCCTGGCAGTAAGATCAGGATCCATCCCTGGTGCATGAGCTGGCTTTTTGGAGCCCATTACCGTGGTGGGACACCTTGCACAGCCTTGATGAAGGGGGAGGGCCTTGGACCTCCTTCAACTGAATGTACCAGGCTTTGTTGACTCCCCATGGGAGGCCTTACCTATTTGGAGGTGGAAATGGGGGGTTCTGTGGTGGGGGAGGATGGGATAGAGCAAGAGGAGGAATAAGAGGGGGAATCTGTGGATAGTATATAAATGAATAAAACATTTCTTAATAAAGAGATAAAACAAAGAAAAAATAAAATAAAAAAGAAGACAACTGAGAATTTTCAGTAATAGATTTAGTGAAGTAACAATCTATTTTCTTTGGCAGGTGGATTTTGGTTTCCAGTGCTCTTCATTCACAAAATATTGATTTTGTGTTTTTCATTTGATATATTTATTTATTTATTTATTTATTTATTTATTTATTTATTTACTCTATCTATCATCTATCATCTATCTATCATCTATCTATCTATCTATCTATCTATCTATCTATCTATCTATCTATCTATCTATCTATCTATCTATCTATCTATCTATCTATCATCTATCTATCGGCTTTAAGATAACAAAGTGCAGCATTTCACTGTCATTTTGAGAAACCCACCAGAAAGGGGATTTTTTTTTTCTTTTTTGATTAGCACACCCTGGTGCATTTTAAGCATGCTCCAGTAGGTGGCGGTGTAGCGGGAGGTCGCAAAGCAGCAGGTGAGAAGCCTCTCTGGACAGACCCCGTGGCAGAAGAGGAAGCGGCACGTGCAGGCGCTCTACGGTGGCCGAGGGACAGCTGCTGCTCTCTGAGCTCTAAATCCAGCAGTGCCCGGGAAGCTGCAGCGACAGTGGCTTCTGTAGTCCGAGCCTGGAGAAGGGCACCTGGCAGCCGGCACCATGGTGAAGGAGCAGTTCCGGGAAACGGATGTAGCTGAGAAAATGTAAGAGGCAGCCTGCTGCTGAGGCTGGGGTCCCGGGTCCCAGAGGGTTCCAGGTGAGGGACAGTTGTGAAGAGAGCGAAGAAAGACAGCCCAGGATGGGATTTCCGATCTTACGGGTCCCTGAACTGTGGCGGAGAAAGTGGGATGGACCGATCAGTGTCAGAACGGGTGTCCTGAGCCAGGATGCCACCTCCCGAAGCCCCGTGCTGACTCCTCTCAGGAACTTTTCCCTGGCAGGAGGAGACAGTGTGTGCTGACCCGAGGTTGTCAGCTAGAAAGTGGGTTTACAGCGACTAGGTGGCAGGCTGAGATCCAAGCTGCTATTCTGGGCCCTCTGCTTCACAGATTAATTATTAAACCATAGACCTTCCTTATGAGTTTTCACTTTGTTTGTTTTTAAGGCAGATCCATTCATTTTTAAGGAGCACGAGAGAGTCCTGAGGCCAGTGTGGAGCACTAAAGATTCCGCATGAATGCAGCATTTGCTGCTTGTCTAGTGGAGAGTAGTCACATCAGCCATGGTTGCGGCAAAGGCAACGACACACAGTGAGGATAATGGGAGCACACGTAATAATAAGTCCGGGCTCACCACAGACCAGGCCTTTTTCAAAATGCTATTGGACGGACAGGGTGGGCTGATAGAAGTGAAGCAGGGGACTTACACTATGAGAGTCTTGCAAGGAGTGTCAGACTCTTGAAGTGTTTGACCAGGCCAGCGTTTGAGTACGATTTCTCGTTTCAGACTGGGATTGATGATGGCCTGAACTGGGGGTGGGGGCCTGAGGATGGGTGTAGGGACATGGAGAGAAGGGGATTCAAAGAGGCTTAGTGTGTAAAGTTGAAAAAAGAGTAGAGATGGAGGTAAGAGAGAAATGAGATGGACATTGTTTGTGTGTGGTTGACATTCACTAGAACAGATGTCTAACCTGGGTGACCTCCCAGCTGTTCTCAGTATCACCCCTCCCAGTACTTCACACCCACCCTATACACTTAAAATACTTTGTCTCACAGCAGCCCCAGGATAGTGTTAGAATGCAGATGAGGTCAATTGTGATGGCACAGGCCCATAATCCCAGCACTCAGGCCAAGGCAGGAAGATCATAAATTTGAGGCTAGTGGGAGCTACATAGCAAGACCCTTCATTTCAAAAGAAAACTAGAACTGTCACTTGGATCTTCCAGTAGCTCTCTATTACACTGACACTTCATACTCTCCTGATTCCCAAGCCTTGCCCAGCCCCGCCCTCAGGCCTTACTAGAGCCATCCTGTACCCTTAGCTAGCTGTCTGTGCCCCACTGTGCTGCTTGCATGTGGTTGCTTGATGATGCCCAGAGTGGGTGGGCCCAGGGATCTGTCTTCTGCTTCCAATGTTCATTCTTCTAATTGCCTTATGTGTGGGCTCCTTTCCTACTTGGAATTCAACTGGAAGGTCAGTTTTGCAGAGAATCTTTCTGTAGAGACCCTGTTGTGCCCCCAGACTACACCACTCCATGTCATTTTGATTCTCTACATGGTTTATGAACAGTCATCACTCCATGGAACATTGGTTCCAATACCCCAGCACTCATAAACAGATACTAAACTTGAGGATGTTAAGTCTTATGCAAAGTGGCATGGTATTGCTAGATAATCTATTTGGCCTTTTATAGTTTTTCTGTGGTTTTTTTTTTTTTTTTTTGGAAAAAAATGGAAGGAAGAAAGCCTGTACATGACCCAGTGCCCCTTGGCAGGCTGTTGTGTCACTCTTGGAGAACTGCTCTTGCTAATAAGTGGTTTCTAGACCTTCCAGTCCTCTGGCCTTTCAGTTTCCTGGCATGCCAGTGTCCTGTCCAGCTCTGACAGATTCTCAGCTGAGGCCTCTGTTCTCTTCCTACCATTTCTCAATGCTCTTTAAGATTTCCTACTAAGCAAGGCAACAGTTACCCAAAACGGGGGCCAGGGACCTACAGTTCTCCCCTTTTACTAAAAAATGAGCTTCTGACTTAGGTTGCATGGAATGTCAGCAGGTCACCTTACCCATCATGGAGATGCCTGCCCAGGCCACACAGGCGCTCTGTCTTAGGTTGGTGAGTGCCCCCCAGACATTACTTGTCTCTGAATACTCATTATCATACAGGCCCAATCATGTGTGAGCTGCAGAGTTAACTGCTGCCAAAGATCTTAAAGTGGCGCTGGGCTTGCAATCTGTGTGTTCGACACAGAAAAGACCAACAGAAGTCCTAACCCATCCATAGCCGGTAGGCTAAAGGTAACTGAGCCATTCCCTTCCTTTCAACATTGTGTAAAACCCTGTAACAATGCAGGATTTTTTTCTTTTGTTCTTTCTCTGTTGTAGAATATTATTTTAAGGTGTGTTACATTTGTTAATATTGCATTTGTGATACTCTGTGAAGCTGTGATACTGTGTCTGTCTAAAACACCTGATGGTTTAATAAAGAACTGAATGGCCAATTTAAAAAAAAAGATTTCCTACCTTATTTTCTCAGATGGTAGGGAGGTGTTCATGGCTAGAAGACGGGAGCTAAGGAAGGGTGTTTGGTGAGGGCCTCTACCGCTCTCTGTAGTTGGTGTCATCTCTGCTGAACCACAGATGCCTTCCATGCTCTGGGATCCTGATGGCAGTAGCTATTCAGATGCTTTTTTCTAACTTTGTTTCTCTCTTAGATCCTCAGAGAAAATGTTTGTTAAAGTCAACTTAAGTATAACATTTCATTATTGAAACTTAAGATTCAGTTAATAAAATCCCCAGAAAATTTAGTAGAAACCATGATACATAATGACCATTTTTTGTTTGTTTGATTTTGAGGGAGGGTCTTTCTATGTCAGTGGTTCTCAAACTGTGGGTCTTGACCCCCAGGGGTCAAACAACCCTTTCACAGGGGTCATCTGAGACCATCGGAAATGACAGATATTTACATTACAATTAATAACAATAGCAAAATTACAGTTATGAAGTTGCAACAAAAATAATTGAATGGCTGGGGGTCACCCCAACATGAGGAACTGTATTAAAGAGACAAAGCATCAAGAAGGTTGAGAACCACTGCTCTATGTAGTCCTGGCTGTCCTGGAGCTTACTATGTAGACCAGGCTGGCCTGCCTCTGCCTCGAAAAGCAGGGATTAAAGGTGTGTGACACCATGCCCAGCTCCATTCTTAGGATTTTTAGATCACTAGTAATTTTCAGAGTTCTTAATAAGTTAGTGATTCATAGCTTAACATTTTAAATATATTTGTCAATTCTTTAAGAATGTCATATATACATACAATATATTTTCATTATATTCACATCATACTCTTCCCCTAAATCCCCTCAGATCCACTGCCTATCTCATGTTCTGTCTCTCTTTTAAATAACCCACCAAGTCAAATTTATGCTGCCCATATCTCAAGGGTATGGGGTCATCTGCTGGAACACGGTTAACACACCAGGAGCCACACCCTTAAAGAGAACTGGCTCTCCCTTTCCTAAAAGCCATAAACTAGCAGTGGCTCCTTAGCCAGGGTGGAGTGTCGTGAGCCCTTCCCCTCCTCCACAACATAACACTTACAGTGATGAACTTAATTCAAGGGTAATATAAACTGATTAAGAAAAAATAGATTATAATAAAAAGAAAACAAAACCAGTAGTTAGGTGCTTGCAAAAGGATTTTTGTTGACTATCCAGAACCCAAATGTGGTCAGGGAGCTAGTGTGGTGGTATATATTTATAGTCCCAACTCTGGAGAAGTGGAGACTCGAAGAACCCTAGTGTTCGCTGGTCAGCTAGCCCTAGGCAAGTTTCGACTCCAAGAACCCTAGTGTTCGCTGGTCAGCTAGCCCTAGGCAAGTTTCTACCACATGGCAAGTTTGAGGCTGCGTAGGATCCTGTCTTCAGAGAAGCAAACATAGGGAAGGACAGATAACTGTATCTAGAGTTCCTGCAGAGTTCTGCAGCTGGTTTGATTCCAGAGTGTTAGCACCTGGCTTTGATCTGCCTTTTCTGAGTGCTACCTTTTGTGTCCCGTACCTTCTGTTTGAAGTATGTTAATCTTATCTGAGAGTTTCCTAAAGATTCAAAGTTTGTGTGAAACTTGGTTACAGGAGAACTCAGCAAACTGAGATGTCCTGTGGCTGGGAATTGCTATGACTTCTGTCTCTTTGGGGAGCTTCAGATAGGAGGTGTTGGTACACAGAAATTGACTTGCAAAAGATGTGAACTGTATACCATAAAAAAAAAAAAGCCCTTTGCAAAGCTACAGTGAGTCAGTTCGACAGAGGCTGACTCCCCTGCAGCAGCAAAGGCTAAAAATCATCCTAGAATGCACCTGTTTCTTCCAAGGACAGTGTGGACCCAACACATGACACAACAGATAACTTTACCAACCCCTAGGAAACTAACCTCCTATTTCCCTTCCTTCCTTCCTACTTCCTATAGGAGAGCTTGAATCCCTGAGTCATTCTGGGTTTGTTTAAGCGCATCCCCGCTGAAGATGTCCCTTTACTTCTGATGAACCCAGAAGCTGGAAAGCCCTCTGATTTGATTCTCACCCAACTTTTGGTGCCTCCCTTGTGTATCAGACCCTCTGTCGTGAGCGATCTGAAGTCAGGAACCAATGAAGATGACTTGACAATGAAACTGACAGAGATCATTTTCCTAAATGATGTCATTAAAAAGGTCAGTGTTTCCCGTTAACTTGTGCATTCTGCACTGTGTGCATCTAGAGATGTTAGCTCACTAGAATGCAAGAAAACTCAGAGAGCAGGTTTGTTTCTGATCTTTCTGTACTCGTAGCACCGGATCTCAGGAGCCAAGACTCAGATGATCATGGAGGACTGGGATTTCCTGCAGCTGCAGTGTGCCCTCTACATCAACAGTGAGCTCTCTGGCATCCCCCTCAACATGGCCCCCAAGAAGTGGACTCGAGGCTTTGTCCAGCTCCTGAAGGGGAAGCAGGTAGGTTCCTGACAAGATCTACCATTGTTACCTACTGAGGGAATATATGTCTGTTCAGATCCCCAGAAACAGCACAGGGCATGTCATGGAACTTATGGTGGTTTTGATTTTAGATTGATTTAGAGGTAATCTGTCAGGGAAGAGGGTGGATTTTTCTGGCCGAACAGTCATCTCACCTGACCCCAACCTCCTGATTGCTGAAGTAGCTGTGCCAGTTCATGTGGCCACAATTCTAACTTTTCCTGAGAAGGTAAATACCACTTAGCTGCCCAGTTCTTTGTTTCCAATCCAGTGTTTCCATTTTGATAGTTCGTGCTACATATAGAGGCAAGTCCCCAGAAACCCACACAGCTTTGTGAAAATATCTCAATCCACTTTGTTTATGTTTTTTTTTTAAATGAATGCTCTGTCTGCATGTACATCTGCATGCCAAAAGGGGACATCAGAACCCATTATAGATGGTTGTGAGCTACACTGTGGTTGCTGGGAATTGAACTTAGGACCTCTGGAAGATCAGCCAGTACTCTTAACTGCTGAGCCATCTCTCCAGCTCATTCCACTTTGTTAAACACACACAACCTCTGTAACATCTACACTGGTACAGTCATAGTTGTAGCTGGAGGTTGTTGGGTTTTCATTTGTTTGTTTGTTTGTATGTTGAAGAGGTAGAGATCCAGCCTGAGACCATGTGTGCCAAGCATGTAAGCACTGGACCACTGACCTACACCCTGCTCCACAGACCATGAATGGAATCTCACTGACTCTAAGGAGACAATTCTTGTAAAATAACTATATTCAATAATAGGTTTATTTTTAAGTGTTCTTGGTTTTGGTTTGGTTTTAGTTTTTTTTTTTTTTTTTTTTTTTTGAGACAGGGTCTCTCTCTATGTAACTGTCTGTCCTGGAACTTACTATGTAGACCGAGGTGGCTTTGAACTGACAGAGCTCTGCCTGCCTCTGCCTCTCAAAGGCCTGTGCCACCATGCCTGGCTCAACTTTTTAAGTTTTTAAAGGGGTGATGGATAAAGTACTTAAGTTACTGTCTTTGTATTCTGATCTTATTTTTAGTGTATGTGTGTGCACACATGCATGAGTGTGAGTGCACATGTCCTAGAGTGTGCATGTGGAGGTCACAGGACAAATTTCAGGAGTCAGTTCTTCCCACACTGAGTTCCACTGATGGAGCTTAGGTCCTCAAACCTGCTGGCAAGTGCTTTTACCAAACCAATGAGCCATCTCACCAGCTCTTACCATATTGCTGTCAGTTAGAGACAGCTGCAAAAGAAAAAAGAAAGCATTTTTATATCTGCAAAAGAATCTGCTGTTTGCTTTTATGCATTTTAATTTTCTTTTTTCCCCAGTGTTAGAGATGAAACTGGGGCCTCATAGCTGGGAGGTCAACTGACCTCATCCTAAGCCCATTCAGCAGTGTTTTAAAACAAAAGGGCGTGCCCATCTACCTCAGGCTTTCCCCACACACCAAACCCACTCAGTCCATGATCAGTTCAGTCAGTGTCACCTAGCCATTCTGATTTTCACAGTTCGGTGATGGGAGCATTTGAGATGAGTGACAGTTTTTGGGGTCTTTGAAATGATTCTTGTATCATGCTTGCTGTTTATGAATGCATCCATTTCACATTCTATGCTGCAGCTTTTTTCCCTACTGACAATACTTTCAACACCTTTGTTAGTTTAATCCTCACATTCTAAAGTATTTCACTGAAGTCATTTTCCTGAACAGTGTTATTTAAAACTATTTAATAAAATAAGCAGTGCTCCGATTTGTTTGTACATTTTGTAGTCTAGCCATCCAGAAACTTCTGGTCACAACATTGTCCAAATAATAAAAATAATCAGTTCTTCTTCCAAGTTAGTTTTCTCGGTATGGTTGTTAGTTTTTAACTGTAAAATGACTGAGTCAAAGAATCTGATCATTTGAAAGCTGTTTCTGCTCAAGCAGAAAGCCTTCAGCAGTCTGCATTCAGTTCATACTCTAGTGGACACAGTGAGAAAGCCTGCGGCCGTCTGCATTCAGTTCATACTCTAGTGGACACAGTGGGAAAGCCTGCGGCCGTCTGCATTCAGTTCATACTCTAGTGGATACAGTGAGAAAGCCTGCGGCCGTCTGCATTCAGTTCATACTCTGAGTATAAGATGGTGGTTACAGTGCTCCCCAACCCTAAGCTCCACATAGAGACTTAGACCACCGTAGTGCCTGGTAATAAAAGCTTGCTGATTAGCTGCATGCCTGAGGTTTATAGACAGTCTGGATCATCAATGCTTGTCATAAACCTGTTCCAAGTGTCCTCATTTGAAGGAAGAATTCTTTCCCATTAAACCATTGACCAAGAAGTTGCAGAGCACAACAGCCCATGGTACTGCTGCCATATCTTTTAAGCCTTAGAGCCTGGTGAAAATTGGCAGATGAAGTTGCCACAGATTGCATTCACAGTACTGAGCAGTTCAGTACATATAGGGAGATTAGAAACGGAGAAAGACTTAGCCAAGCCTCTTTAGATCTAGGCTGCTGTCTGCCAGTTTGCTGTTCCTGCAACTTCAGTCATGACTGGGGGCCACAGCTGCCCTGTGTTAGCTCTCTTTCTCTTAGAACCTATGCTATGAACAACTGAGTACTGTTGGCTAGCTTATAGACAGGAAGTTGTCTTACTGTGGTTTTTTTTTAATCACAGTTCTGTAGGTTAAGAAAGCAAATGTTAATTTTTTGAGGAAACTGGTTCAAAATGGCCCTGATGTTCACCCAGGAACCCATTTCATCCAGCAGAGACACATGCAGATGAAAAGGTAATGCTTTCCCGGTTGTGTGGGATTAACCTGCCTGACGGTACTGTTCACCAGAACCATGGAATGCATTCTAGATACACTGACGGGCATTTTGGCGTGTAGAATGTAGATGTTTAAATTGACTAGTCCTGTGTCTGTCATTGTCTCTGCTCACTGCATATGCATGAAGTATTGTTCTCTTACATGGGACATTATTATATTAGACCTAGATACACAGACTCGCTTGAGATACGAACAGCTTGTTTTCTGTGTCACTGGACTCTTGAGGATCTCTCATTGGTGCTCATTTTACCAAGTCTGGCTTGACAGCCAGGTGAGGTGACCGCCAGTGGCTTATGTCGTGAGGGTTTTAAGGATCCCATAGAAGAAAGAATATTACTGTAGTTCTACGATTCTAAAACAAATACTTTCATATTTTAACATCCATCTCTCCTGGATCTAGAGACTGAATCCAGGGCCCTATGTACTGCTGAGCTGTACCTCCAGCTCCCAGTACCCCCTTGTTAAAAATAGGGTCTCACCAGGCAGTGGTGGCACATACCTTTCATTCCAGTCCTCAGGAGGCAGAGACATGTGGACTTCTGTGAGATCCCAGAAATCAAAGTCAGATTGTCAGAAGTAAAACTTGGATTTTGACTGATTTCATTGTCATTTTATGTATACATTTGTGTGGGTGGGTGTGTCTGATGTATGCCACATGTGTGCAGGAAAGTGTAGAGACCTGAAGAGGGCATGGGATCCCCTGGACTGGAATTGTAGGCAGTTGTGAGAGGCCTAAAATGGGTGCTGAGAAGCAAACTGGAAGTGCTCTGGAGTAGCAAGTGCTTCTAACCTTAGAACCATCTCCAGCCCTCCCTTCAGTATTTTTAAGATGTGAGGTATAAGGTTCATACACAACGTTACTGTGGCACAGATCTAATTGAGAGTTGGAGTGAAAATCCCTGGAATGGTTTAATTGTGCAAAGGAAAATGTGTGTGTTGTGTACACAGCTTTATATAAAATAGGCAAAAATTGATTTTATTTACTTTTGCCTGTTCATTTAGCAACTAAAGCCAGGTGGTGGTGGCGCATGCCTTTAATCCCAACACTTAGAAGGCAGAGGCAGATGGATCTCTGTGAGTTCAAGGCCAGCCTGATCTAAGGTGTCAGGTCTAGGACAGTCAGGACTGTTACACGGAGAAACCCAAACTTTTGCAAACAAAAAAAAGAAAGGAAACTTGGCACCTAAAATGCTGAAGAGACTTGCACAATGGGTCTCTTGCAGAGTGTTGAGTGCCACAGGCTTAGGGGCAGCATGACTTTGAAGAACGCTGAGGGCTGTGGGCCCCCTGCAGATGTGGCTTCACTGCTGCTACTGCTTTTCATCCCTGTGAGCTTAAGATGAGCCTAAAGACTCACCAGATTCAGGCTCAGCTTTTTGCAGGACTGATGTATGGATGGTGCTGGTTATTGCTCTTGGCTTGTTTGGAGATATTCATGTGATCTGGCTACCCCACTCTTACTGATGCTGAGAAGATTGAAATACTTGAGGGTATACAGGTTCCCCTATCTTTAATTTCTTTCTGTTCTCACGTATTACCTAGGCTTCTTCTTTAAAAAATTATTTTTTTTACATGTATTGGTGTTTTGCAGCAGTGTCCTTCTTTGTGGAAATTTTCTTATTATTTCCTTGAAATTTTATCTCCATTGCTTTCTGTTTGGAACTTGTGTTAATTGAATTTCCAGTTACTGGATCAATTCTGCTTTTTTTACCTTTTTTTTTTTTTAAATCTATGACTTTATTCACTCCTTTTGTTTTTTATCATTTCTGTTGATTTGAAATGTTTCCATTACAAAAGTTCCCATGATTATTATTTGCAGATAAGGTGGGGATTTGTCTGTTCTCTACATTGGGATTTTTTCCCAATTTCCTCTGTTTCATTTGTTTATGTTTTCAAGACAGGATCTACTATGTAGCCCCCACTGCCCTGGAAAATGGCATGTAGACCAGGCTGCCCTCAAGCTCATGGGCATCTGCCTGGCTCTGCCTCCCATGCACTGGGATTAAGGGCGTGCACTGCCACACCAGGCTGGAGCGGCCTCATTCTGATCTCTGGATTTGACTTTGACTGCTCTGAAGGAGTTTTACTGAGTATTTTCATATTTCCTCCCTAAATTTTCCATTTCCTTTCCTTTTGTATTTGTGGTCTCATATTTCATGTTAAAACTGTCCTAAAGGGCAGGAGAGATGGCTGAGAGTTTAAGAGCTCAGAGGTCCTGAGTTCAGAAACCACATGGTGGCTCACAACCATCTGTAATGAGATCTGGTGCCCTCTTCTGGCATGCAAGCATACATGCAGAACACTATATATATATATATATATATATATATATATATATATATATATATATATATATAAAATCTTTAAAAGCAAAAACAGGCCAGGCGGTGGTGGCGCACGCCTTTAATCCCAGCACTCGGAGTCAGAGGCAGGCGGATCTCTGTGAGTTCGAGGCCAGCCTGGTCTCCAAAGTGAGTTCCAAGAAAGGCGCAAAGCTACACAGAGAAACCCTGTCTCAAAAAACTAAAAACAAAAACAAAAACCAAAACCAAAAACAGAACTTCCCTAAAATGCATGAAATACATATTGTTCTTGGTTATCCACTCATCTTTGGGGTGTGAGACTAATCACTGACTGGAAATAGAGCTGCAGGGTTTATGGTCCTCTCGGTTCCTTGGTTTGAGCTGAGAACCAACCTTCTCACTGCAGGGCCACCACTTACCCCGTCAATAACAGTTTTCTCTAGGGAGGCTTGATTTCCTCAGAGACATCTCTTCTAGTTTCAGTCTCCCACCCTGGGGATAGAGCCATGGAAGCTGGCCAAGGCGGGAGCCCAGGCTGCCATCATATATTGCACAGATGGTTCTCCAGGCTCTTGTCGTCCTATCCGGCTGTGACTGGTATTCTCAAATCCAGAACCCTTGGGTCTTTCCTGAGGACGTGAACTGCCATCTTCCTTCCGAGCAAAGCCCAGAGCCACTTCCTTACACAGACTCTCCACATTCCATGTCTCCAGTACATTCATCTCTGGGTCTGCAGGAACTAGTGGTCTCACTTCCAAGCCTCTCCAGACTTGTTGGTTCTCTACCTGAAGACATTGAAAGGGCCTCTCCTTCCCTGTGCAACTAAGACTGAACACTCAGTCACCCACCCACTTCTTCACAGCTTAGTTCTATTCTACCAAAGATGGCGTTTATATTTGCCTTTTTTTCCTAGTGGGAAGTAAACCCAGATTCACATAGTGCTCTCTCGCTCTCTTGCTCTCTCTCCACTGAGTTACACCCCAGCCTTCCTCCTTTTCTCTTTGAGAGTGATTTCTGAGAGGAGGAGGGCAGGCAGCAGGGATGAGCTCTTCCTGACAGCTTGACACTAATGGTTATGGCTCTTTTGCTCTGCCTGCCAATTCTTCCTCAACTAACCGTGGGTTCTCCATCGGGATTGGTGATGTCACACCTGGCCAGGGACTGCTGAAGGCCAAGTATGAGCTACTGAATGCTGGCTACAAGAAGTGCGATGAATACATTGAAGCCCTGAACACAGGCAAGCTGCAGCAGCAGCCAGGCTGCACTGCTGAGGAGACACTAGAGGTGAGACTGCCCTCCAGATCGGCATGGCCAGCTGTCCTGCTTACAGTGTGTTTAGGATGGGCCAAAAGCCATGAAGAGAAGGTGGCCGAGAAGCAAGAAGGGATGCGTTCTTGTCCCATTCCTGCAATGTGTTCTTGTTTGTTTGGCAGTGTGGGACCTTTGCTCTTTTAGCATTCACACTCTGGTATAAAAACATGGGTATCTGTTCATTTGACAGCATGGGGCTGTGCTTCACTGGGGCTGCTCTGACTGTCCCTCAGATCCTCAGCCCTCCCTCTTTGCAGCATCGTTCCATTTACCCCACACCAAAGCTCAGTGCATTGATCATTATTACCATGACTTGGATGCAGGCTAGGAAATATTCATGTTGGATTGTCGAACCCAGGCCACAGCCTCCTCATGTTTGAAACATGAGCACTGAGCTGGCCACATCAAAATATATCCTTTTCTAGGAGCCTGAAGTTCAAAAGTAAATGGACCAGGAGTTGGGGCACTGGCTTTGTTTTGTTCTCTTTCATGACAGCCTCACTCTGTAGCTCAAGATGTTCACAAATTTAAGGTCTTCTGACCCCAGCCTCAAGTCCTGGGATTTGCAAGTACATGTTGCCATACCTGGCCTATCCTCTGCCTTCTCCATGGCCTGTGTCTTGCACTTTTCCTTCCCTAGAGTGTGGAAGATAGGCTCTTGAAGGATCATGTCTTCCCAGCTGGGTGTGGTGGCACACACCTGAAATTTCAACCGCCTGGAGGAAGAGGCAGAAAGATGGAGAGTTCACAGCTAGTGTTTTGTTTTCTGTTCAGATCATATAAATAGTTTGCTAAACAGGGTTCAAAACCAGGTCAGGCAAGTTTAGCAATACAGTAGCTAAAAGAGAGGTGGGAAGATGAAGAATTCTTTCTCTTTGTGAGGGGTTTTCAGACACTTTCTCTTTGTAACCCATACATAGTCACTAATTCACAGTCCTGCCACAGTATCCTGAGTGCTGGGCTCCCAGGAGTGTACCAATCCCCTGGAAATCTGCTCCTTTTCAGTCTTCCTGAGTTTTAGACAGAGATATAAGAGGAGACTTCTTACTGTACCTACCATGACAATTAATTAAGGTCTCAATAGGACCACGACTTCTAGAGGGCTCAGCACCTTAAATTGTGAACTGTGACTGTGCTCACAGGTCAGGGTATCCTGGTGTCATCTTGTCACATTCTTTGCTCATGCAGATTGAAAGCATGCTTTATGAGAACAGGTAGAGACAGATTGTGCAAGCAGAGGGAGCAGTTCTCCTTCACATGAGCATTGTGCATTTACAGGGGTGCGCGCACACACGACTGGATGTTCACGTGCTGTCACATAGACAGAAATACACAAAACCATAGATATTCTACTTCATGAACAATTTGAAATTTTTTTGTAGGATTTTGTTACAATTTGCTATGCACACTCTTCCAGACCCTTGCAGAAGAAAGGCCTTTGTGCAACTTGGCCTGTGTGATTGAGTTCAGGAAACTTCATTAATTAGAAATCTGACATATGTTCAGATTTCTGAACATATGATGAAATGTTCTTAATTTTTCTTTTTTCTTTGTTTGGTTTTGTTTTTAGAGACAGGGTTTCTCTGTGTCATTTTGGTGCCTGTCCTGGATCTCACTCTGTAGACCAGGCTGGCCTCGAACTCACAGAGATCCGCCTGGCTCTGCCTCCTGAGTGTTGGGATTAAAGGCATGTGCCACCACCACCCAGCCTTGATTTTTCTATAAATGTCAATATGAAGGTCTGTGATCTGCAGACCCAAAGCATGTCCCATCAGGGACTGCATTTTCTTCCCTCTCTGCCCCTCCCCCAGGCCCTGATCCTGAAGGTGCTGTCTGTGATCCAGGACCACCCTGGCAGTGCCTGCCTCTAAGAGCTAGACAAGAGCAACAGCTCCTTCACCATGGTCCTGTGTGGCTCCAAAGGTGAGCTAAGGTTGGCTGTTTGTGTGCCCTGCCAGGGGCTTGGCTCTAGAAAACGTCTTTCATGGTGGTAACTTCATAGGGTCTCTTCATTTTTTTTCTCTTTATTAAGAAAATTTTTTATTCATTTTAATATCAACAACAGATCCCCATCTCATCCCTCCTCCTGCTCCCCCCCCCCACTTTCCACCCCCACCAACTCCTCATCCCTTCCTCCAAAAAGGTATGGCCTCCCATGGGGAGTCAGCAAAGCCTGGTACATTCAGCTGAGTCAGGTCCAAGCCCCTCCCTTCTGCATCAAGGCTGTGCAAGGTGTGCCCCATCATAGGTAATGGTCTCTGAAAAGTCAGCTTATGTGCCAGGGATAGATCCTGATCCTATTGCCAGGAACCCCTTAAACAGACCAAACTACACAACTGTCTCACTTATGCAGAGGGCCAAGTCCAGTCTCATGCAGGCTCCACAGCTGTTAGTTTAAAGTTCATGAGTTCCCAATAGCTTGGTTTGATTGTCTCTATAGATTTCTCCATCATGATCTTGATGTCCCTTGCTCATAGAATCCCTCTTCCTTCTCTTTGACTGGACTCCCAGAGCTCAGTCTGGTGCTTGACTGTGGATCTCTGCATCTGCTTCCATCATTTACTACATGAAGGCTCTATGATGACAGTTAGGGTAGTCACCAATCTGATCACTGGGGTAGGCCACCTCAGCCACCTCTCCACTATTGGTAGTAGTGTAAGCTAGGGTCATCCAAGTGCCTATCTCTAAATCATGGAAGTCTGCATAGTTTACATCTTTCGGAAAACTTATTGGTAATGTGGTCAAGTTCCTAAGTTTGAAGATGCTTTGATTAAATTTGGTGTTAAAAAGAAGAAAGCTTGGAATTTTTAGTAATAGATTTAGTGATCTTTCTTCTTTTCTTGTGGTGCTGAGGATCAACCCTAGGGCCTCATGCATCTCAGGCAAGTGCTCTATCACTAGCTTAGCTTAGATGTGGCAAACTTCTTTAACTTCATTTACTCAGACCCTCTAGCATTATGATTCCGAATACCATGCTCAAACTCAGAACCTCAGGGCCTCTATTGCTGTCATTTTGTTTACTATGAAATAAAATTCCCCACTCTCTAAGTTGGCTGCCTTTCCCCATGTTCTACTTCCTGCTCCTGTGCACACCTGGGGTCTCCCCTGCTCTACCTTTGCTTCTCCCTCACTCTTCCACACACATTCAGATTCCTTCTCCCCACCCTCCTCTCTCTGTAGTCCCCATGTCCAGAGGCCAATATGACGGTCATCTGAAAGACTCCAGTGGCCCTTCCCTACACCCCACACCTGCACATGCCCTGGAGCCCTTTCCTTGGTTCCAACTGTTATTGTAGTTCTGTCCTTCAGTCCCTTGGACTCCTAGGCTGTGAGAGTAAGGGTTGTGCTGTGTCACATTCTATTTTATCCCTCTGTCCTGCCTGGCTTCTGTTATTGTTTCCATTTCTGACCTGTTCCCAGGTTCCTTCATTAACATATCACAGATGATTGCCTGTGTGGGACAGCAAGCCATCAGTGGCTCCTGGGTTCCAGATGGCTTTGAAAACAGATCTTTGCCTCACTTTGAGAAGCATTCGAAGGTAAATGGCAGTGGAAGCTTGAAGGTCTGTTTGTCTAGAATGTCCCCTGAGGAACACAGACTTATCAGGATCTAAAGCCATTGGTTATTTTCACTGGGTGTTTACATAGAATGTGTGGCTGTGGCATTGAATTGCACTTCATGTCAGTCTTCACCCATGTGAAGTTCCTCTTCAGTGACTGTTGGTATGTCAGAGTTGCACCACCATCACTACAGTCTATTTTACCTTTTCAGTAGCTCTAGCTACAGGTGGATCTGGTTTGGAGGTGGGTGGGACTAGCCAACAATAAGGATGTCTTGAAGACATTGGGTTCCCAAGGAATGGGTTGGCTGCCCTCTGAGGTCCTTGACACTTCTGGGATAGCAGCTCCAACTCATATTTTCCTCTTCTGAGCCATTTATCTGCACTGGCACCCTAGCAAAGATGGGTGTGTCCAAATTATTTCTCGATAGGCAAGGGCATAGGGCACCTGCCAGTTCTTGAGTCACTGGCTGGGTATGTGTGTAGCCTCCAGGGGACATTTTCTTCTGTGGATGGATTTTAGAATTTTGGACCTGGAAACTTGCTTGATAGTCTTTTTTCCTACCTCTCTTTAGCTCCCTGCTGCCAAAAGCTTTGTGGCTAATAGCTTTAACTGTGGCTTAATGCCTACTGAGTTTTTCTTTCACGCAATGGCTGGTTAGGAGGGTCTTGTAGACACTGCTGTAAAGACTTCTGTAACCGGATACTAGCAGGTAACTTGAGGAAGTGTCATTGGCCACAGAGCAACAGCATTGTGTGTGAGCCCGGCCTGCTCAGTGAGTGAGTGAGTGTGTGTGTGTGTGTGTGTGTGTGCGCGCGTGTGCATACGTGCATTCCTGTGTGATCTGTGTTTATGCATGCATGCTTGCCTGTTTTGTACAAGAGCTGTGATTTACCCCCATTTTGTTTTTGAAAGGGAACATTTAGACATGTTGCTGCTCTGGAACTAATAATAACTGAGCTCAGATTTTCCTGTGTACTCTGAAAGGTAGAGAATAGGCCAGAGTCCCAGATGGCTAAGTCTCCTAGAGGGGAATGCTGAGCTTGTAGCCTGGACTTACCATTCAGCCTCCCTTAGCTGTTTCCTAGCATGACTGGGGCATGAGGGTGATAACTGCCTGCCAGTTACTGAGAGGTTTCTGACTCTCACCGTGCCACTGGTTAGGTCTGATCATTCATCCTTTCCGTGGCTCCCAGGAATTACAGCTTCAGGGTGACAGGGCTGAGCTAGAGGGTTCTTTGCTGCACTTACAAGTGGCTGTAAAACTTGACCCTCTGTGTCTCTCTGTAGGTCACAGAAGAGGATTTCTTTTTAGACCCCAGGATCATTTCCACTCCCTGATACATCAGTAAATCTATATGTTGCAAGAAAATCCATGTGTTTCTGTTGCTGGAGATTGGACCCAGGGCCTCCCTAATGCTAGGCCAGTGCATTAACTGCTGAGCACAATCCTAGCCCCCCAAAATTGTTCATGTTTTTGACTGTTTATGACACCAGTTAAAGGTGACAGGCCACATTGTTGAGGAACATGCTTGATTCCACTTTGGGTCCTATCTGTCCCCCTGTGGAAGTGAGGACCTTGCAGACTGCAAAACCAGGATTTGATGAGCCAGTGAGCCAGATAAAGGTGATGAGGGTAAGATAGTGGCTGGAGTCACTTGTGCAGACAGTGCCCCGTCTGTACTTGTTTGTTATCCCCTGATGCTGTGGACATCCGCTGGGAATTGCCCTTTGGTTTTGAGGTGTGCTACATTCATCAAAAGGAACTGTGAATGCCTTTTCCACTCATAGTGTGAGGAGCTGTAACTTAGGGTTTTGACATGTACAGTATGAATTTCCAAGAGCACCAGGATAACCTAGAAGCAGTGGGTTCTGGCAAGAGCAAGGTTGTTTTCTAGGATTTCTCTCGTTCTCTGGGCCAGAGTCACACTGCTCACTGGTAGGGGAAGGTTTTCCCAAGCATAGTTGAGAAATGGTTGCTGCCCTTGATTCATAGTCTGTAACCCTGCTTCCTTGTCCTCTGTCCCCAAAGAGGGCTTGCATCTGATTCTCTGTACTGAAGTCTGCATGGGCTCTGGTGGGAATGTGTATAAAAACCAGTTTGCATCATAGGGAGCTGGGTGGGAAGCCTAAGCAGCCCAGGAAAGCAGTGTGCAGAGTTCTTGGGGCTGGTGAGGTTTCTGTTGCAGGGAGACTTGACACAGGTCAGACTAGAGGTTGGAACATAAGCTGCCTCTCACTGCACAGGCTAGTGAGGCACTTGTGGCCCTGTTGTTCTCAGGCAAATGAGGGACTCTTCTTGAATGTCTAATAAAGTGCTGTTGATGTAATTTCAGCACCTGTAACTGGGGATGTGGCTTGGTGACAGAGTGCTTACCTAGCACACCCAAGACCCTGAGTTCATCTCTAGCACCATGAAAAACAAGCAAACAAATGACCTATAACCGTGAAATTGAATGGCAAGTCTGATTGTGTGCTATGAAGCAGTCTTCCCCGGGCAGCTGAGTCTCCTTCTCTTCCTGTAGAGAAGGCTGGTCAAATCCCTGGAAGACCTCTGCTCCCAGTATGATCTGACAGTGCGGAGCTCCACTGGTGACATCATCCAGTTCATCTACGGAGGAGATGACTTAGATCCTGCTGCCATGGAGGGCAGAGATGAGCCTCTGGGGTTTAAAAGGGTTCTGGACAACATCAAAGTGAGATGCAGCACTCTGTTGAGGGGTACAATCTTCTGGGGGACTTTGTCATAGGTGTTGACACTGTTTATAGTACCACACTTCCCACTTAATCATCTGTGCTTCAGTACTAGATTGGTACCTTATTACTTGTAGTTACTCTGTTTTCATTCCTGAGCCTATTGTTAGTCCAAATCAGATGCCAATGGAAGAGGCTCTGGCTCCTCTCTTCTAGTGAAGTGGACTAGAGACAAGCTTTATAAAGAATGGTTGTTGGACAGAAGGCTCATTTCATGTACTGTAGCCAGGAATATGAGTTGGAACCAATCTTTTTGAATAGTAATTGGACAAGATTCATCTGGGTTTCAGTTTAGTGCCTTTTGGCCCAGATCTTCCAGCAGCAGAAGGTGGTTCCACTGAAGTTGTTTTTCCGTTCTTTCTAGTAGTTGGAAGCCACCACTTGAGAATGGGTCAGAAAGCACTAAAACATTGAAGAAACCCCATGATCCTGAGGAGGATGTGATCCCATGGTCCTGTACAGGTGTTGACAAACCAGGGTTAACGTTCAGCAGGCAGAGAATCACTGTAAATTCTGGCTGGTCTTTGTTGTTGGTCACCCCATTAACTGTCATGTCCTTCTGAGTTGGCCCTAATGCAGACAGGACATGACCATCATAAGAAACTATTTGACTTGGTGTGGGTGTGTTCTACATTGTGGTTTACCATCACAGCATGTTAGAATATTTGATCTCTGTGTCTGTCTTCATGCCCTGTGGAAGGAGCCTGGGCCAGCTCTGCCTTACTCACCTGTGGGTCTCAGCACAGGGCTTGGCTGGTTTGTAGTGTTTTCAGTTGATGGGTTAACCTAACCCCTTATACTGGTATTTGTGGAGATAGAGAATATTTGACTGGTAACCATGGATCTAGGAGTCAGCTGACTTGGGTTGGGATTGCAGACTGAGAACTGCCACATTCCCCTTGCTCTCTAATCCTTACGTCAGTCTTAGCCTTGAAACAGTTCTGGAAGCCATTCTCAAGTGCCACAGGCCACAGTCTTGTGGTTCCCACATGAAAGTCAAGTCTTTCTTGCTGTGGGCCTTTGACTCTGGTAACAGAGCTGATTTATAGGCGTTGATGTAACTTGGAAGTAGAGTAATTGCCTCACACGTACAAGGTCTTGGGTTTTATCTAGGGACCAGAAAAAGGGAAAAAAATGAAGAATCCAGTTACATGTGGAAGTGTAGCACACAAACAACAACCCTTTAGTCCTCCTGGCCTCCGTTCTCCAGACAATCCAGAACTTTCTCCATGGTCTCTGTTTGTTGCCATTGATAGGGCATAAAATTTCAGTGAGGAAAATGTTCATCCTTTGAGTGAAAAAAAATCTACTACTTATGGATCAAGCAGAGATAATGAACATAGATGTGTTGTATAACAAAATTTTGTGGTGTTGGAGAGTTTGCTGAGTAGTTAAGAGCACTTAACTGCTCTTCCAGGAGACAAAAGTTCTGTTCAAGTACCCACATAGATTACAATCTCCTATAACTCTAGCTCCAGGGGAGATGGCTCCTCACTTGTCTTCATGTGTACCTACACACAGGTGACATACATTCACACAGACAAACACACATACATATGAATCAAAATAAAATAAATTTTGTGGTAGACCAGGCAGCACAAATATGACTATCAAGACTTCAAGAGCCCTCATGAGCCAGGCAGAGGCAGGCCGATCTCTCAGTTTGAGGACATCAGGTCTACATAGTGAGTCCTAGGACCTGCAGGACTACACAGAGAACCCTGTCTTTGGAGGGGGAAAAGGCATCATGACATCAAGGATGAAAGCCGTTGACACAGAAGTCTGCAGATGTCTGTTGGTAATGTCCCCTGGCACTTTGCAGGTGAATGCTGAGACAGTACGGTACTCCATTTGCACATCCAAGCTCCGAGTGAAGCCTAGTGATGTGGCTGTTCATGGTGAGGCCGTGGTATGTGTCACACCCAGGGAAAACAGCGAGAGCTCCATGTATTATGTGCTACAGTTTCTGAAAGAGGATCTACCCAAGGTGAGGCCAAGAGTCCTCTTTTGGAGATAGCCAAGAGTGGGGATGGGGACCAGGGCACTATAGAGATCAAGGATGGCACCGAGTACTTCATGGCCAAATACCCATGGCCTCAGCCTGGTTCTTAATTGATTTGGGGATGTGGGAGAGTGGGTGGTGGGCTTGTGGGATTTGGCTCCTTCCCTCTACCTTGTGGGTCTCAAGGATCAAACTCAGGTTGTCAGGCTTGGTGGCAAGCTCCTTTATCCACTGAGCCTTCAGCTAGCTCTTGTACTGACTTCTGAGATCACAACTCTCTCTGTCAGTCTTCTTTCTGCTGTCTATCCAAGCTGATTGTAGGTTGGGGCACAGTCCTCTGAACCGTCTGTCCTTTAACCCTAAGCAGTACGTAGGCTAAGAGTACACACACTGCTGCTTGTAATGGGGCTGAGAATAGCATGAACTAGTTACCAGCCAAATCTTCAGTCCTGTTTATGAGGCTCTCCGTAGGGACCTAGAGGTTGCAGCGTCTTGAGCATTTGTGTTGAACATAGGTGGTGGAACAGGGCATCCCGGGGGTGTCCAGAGCTGTCATCCATATCAATGAGCAGAGGGCAAAGGGAAAGTTTAAGTGTCTAGTAGAAGGTGTCAGCCTGTGGACAGTCATGGCCACCCATGGTATGAAAGGCACCCGGAACACTTCCAGTAATACCTATGAGGTACCATTGCATCTGGACCCTCAGCCAATACGCAGCAGTTTCCTGTCCCTGGCATTTGTTTCCTCAACAATTACACAGCAACCTGTTTTGGGAAATAGAGCAGCATGTGCTTTGTGCTTGTCAAATGGGAAGAAGTAGGAGTGAGGTAGCTCCCAGAAGGGACTGCCTCCACTCACTCCTAGCTCTCCCTAGGTGGAGAAAACTCTGGGCATTGAGGCTGCCTGGACAACCATCATCAACGAGATCCAGTACACGATGGTCAACCATGGCATGAGCATCGACAGGAGGCACGTGATGCTGCTCTCGGACCTGATGACCTACAAGGTGTGAGAGAAGGGAGGCTCCGGGCTGTCAGGGGTCGTGGAACCCACGGTCTGTCAAACAGCCAGAGAGGGTAAACAGCATAGAAAGCACATCAAGACGAAGTGAAAAAAAGTGAGGAGGGTTAGAATGGGAGAAGCCCATGCACAAGCCAGAGTATATCTGTCGGACACCAGGACTGAAACCCAGCACCCACCACCCACACCTTTGCAGCCTGGGCACAGCCTCTGTCCCCCACACTACAGGAAATGTCCCATCTCTCTGCGTGGAGTACTCCACTCCAACGTTAGCTCTCACTGTGTGTTGGGGTTAGTTTGTCTCTTTGCCTCTCTGTCCTGGAGTTGTCTTTGGCTTCAACATAGAATGCGTCTACCTTCAACTTCCTTCCTGTAAAATCATAGTCCTAGCATAGAATCTTGGAGCTTTTAAGACTTGAACTGAATCCAGGTGGTGTATGTCCATGCCTTTAATCCCAGCACTCTGGAGGCATGGTCCTTGAGTGACCAGGCGGGAGATCTGGGCTCCTCACAACACTTGAGTGCTTGTGCACTGTGCCATTTTTCTCCTGGCTTCTGAAAACACAGGCAGGTTTCAGGGCTCTGGACCACATTGCATCTTGTGCCACTGTGAATATTCCTGAAGAAGTAGTCTCTGTTTTCCCCAGAAGAATGTGAGGGAGACAGAGGAAACTTTCCCCTGACTGTTTACACAGTCACATCTCTACAGAGTGATGAGAAAGGTAAGATCCACAGAGGGGGCATCTCAGCCTGGCCCAAAATGTTTGGGTTGTCCCTTGGTTCCAGGCATAATCTTTCTGTTTGGGCCTCAGAGTGGTCTGTCCATCCTCTATGCCTTGTCACTATGCAAGTTCACTTGTGTTCATCTACCCACAGAGACTGCAATGGAGTCATCATCCCACCCAACCCTCCTCACCAAGAAACAGGTGAAGAAGGAAATGGAGAAGCTGATCATAGTGGTCTATGCCAGAAACCTTTGGCTCTGATTCTTGTGTTGGGGGCCAGGCTTGCAGACAGAAATAGGGGGAAGAAGGGAAGAAGTGTCACTACCAATTGTCCTGGATCTAGCTCTATGAAGCACCCTCTCCTGTAAAATTGTAATGGGGCCTTGTGAAAAGTTTAAGAACAAGAGGCTTCTGTAGTCCTTGATTAGGGGGATTCTGCAGCAAAGTGGCCACCTGAACTCATATGAGGGACAATGTCATAGAAACCTTGGACAATTAGGCAGGGATTCCAGGCAGGTCTGCTGGGCTCCAGGACCCTTCCCTTGATGCTAAATTCAGAGGGAATTGGAGCTTGAATTCACTTCCTTCCACATATTTAGTTTGTTGTATTTTTGGTGCTGAGGATGGAAACAGGCCCTTCCATGTGCTCTATCACAGAGCCATACCTCCAATCTGATTTGACAGTTCTTCTGTTCCTTCTTGAAAATTTCTTTTCTCTACTTATTTTTACAAATTATTATTCTGTGTATGATCACATGGGGAATGCAGAAGACAACTTTGTGTCATCTCATTTTTCTTTTCACTCCATGTTAAGAAGTTTGGATTGAAGATTTAATTTAAGATCCTTTAGCCTCAAATATAAAACTTAAATAAATACAGTCCATAGAATTGAACTTTATTTTATTTTTTACTCTTTCATGGTGTACCATAATAGAATATCACAGTTTCTTTTATGACTCAGTTTATGCAAAGAGCTAAAGCTTAACAAAGTTGGGAAAGACAAAGAGGCTAGATATAATATCTTCAAGTGCATTTCTGCTAGCCTAAATAGACCTTAGGTACTTAAGAGCCCTATTTATCAAATATACTAAATTTATCAATCACATATTTGTTTCTTATTTAAATTTTTCTAGAAGCCTAGTGTTCAACAGTTAACAAATACATAAGTGGTTATACATAAATCTTTATGTCAGGTTCTTCTATCCTGAATAGACTTATATTTCCTTAGGGATATCTCATGATATTAAATTCCATCTTTCTCCAAAATATTTTGAGGAAAAGTGATTGCCTATTTAGTCTATAAAGGAGATATAATAATAACCAAAGGGGACAGTAGGAATAATAACTTTTATACATGCTGCCTATATATAGATTTTAAAAGTGATAACCTTTTGTTACAAGTTTTCAGCTAATTTTTGTTATGCATTTTACAAATTTTAACCAAGCCCCAGGAATTTAGAAATCCAAAGTTAAAGAAATTACATCATAAGGTATTATTTTTTGAGATTAAGGGGCAAAGAAATTTAGAGATAAAATATGTTAGAGTACAAAGTAGATAGAGCTTAGAGGTTTTCATCTCTTCATTACACTTTTTTAAAATTTAAAACACTTTTGTAACGATTCTTTTCTATCAGTGTAAGCCAGTTTCCATTTTTAGTATAACTCTATCCTTCATGTGCAAATATATACATGAAGTGAGTTAAAAGTAACCTATTACTGAGCAATGTCTAATAAAAACTAATGGAATATAGTAAGTTTTGACTGTTGAGCTGTACAGTCAGGGGAAGGTGCTATCCATTTTGTGGAATATGGGGAATTTGTATATATTTGCTCCTTGTCTTTTTGAAGAAAAATCTGTAAAATCACTAAGAGCAAACACTACAGGATTTTTAGATGCAATTTTAGGTCATACTCATTGAGTATCTTCAAAAACTCTTAAAATTGATGTACTGGGTAGTGATTATCTATAGACCCGAGTAACATGCTAATGCAATCTGCCAGTGGTCATCAATTTAAATCAAATAAGGTGCATATTATCTACTGGCAGTAATTTCTGTAGGCTCCATACTAGGAAGTTGTTTAAAAGGTATCCTTTCCATTATCATTAAGTCTATCATTTCTTGGTAATAAGGAGATGCAGGTACTTGTGGAGAATCATACCTCACAGAAATGTCTATAATACTGTTACCATCTGGACATATACTTCCAGTAGGAAATGAACACTCATTTTCCCACATGGAAGTACTGAGGCATTTCCAAGCATTCAGAGAATTCAAGGGTGCTGAAGGATTTCCCTTGAGTCCCAGGAGAGATTCCTGGAATGGGAAACCTGACTTCTGGAGAGTTATGAGGAGATCTGGTTAGTAGGGAGGCAATGTCAGTTCCCCCATGACATCAGGGGTGTCTCATGCCTGGACATTCTATTGTATCCTGGAGACTTAGAATGTTTTCTGATGTCATCTGTGTTGTAGCGCTACCAACTGCCTTTGGGGAGTTGGTTCAGTGCCCTTACAGTTCAGCCATGAACATGTTGGGAAGACTCAGGAGTCTGTTGGATCGAGAGAAGGGAGAGGGAAGAGAGATTGGAGAGAGGCAGATACAAGCTGACCTTCAGCCTCCATGTAAAATATCAAGAAAGAAATGGTCCAGAAGATGGTACAGTAAGTCTTGGGCAGGAGATTGGGATCTTCCTGCAGGACATGGGCTTGAGCTGAATATTTCAGTAACAGGACACAGGAGGTAGGAGTCTCTGTGAACCAACTGGACTTCCCTCCTTGTCATGGCTCCTGAAATTCAAGGATTCCAGAAGAGTAATTTGTCTGTCCCAGAAGTCAGGAGTGAGTAAGGCCAAAGCTGTTGTGCTGGGAGCTCTTGCCTGTCAATCCTACAGGAGGGTTGGGGTTGAGAGGGGACAAAAAGGACAGCATTAGTGTAGGAGGTTCAAGTGACCTGAGCCCAGAAAAAGACACATCATCAATGCACTTCATTCTCAGTGGCTTCATTTATTTATGGCCCACCAGCTCTATGCATCCTCTGTTGTCACTGAGGAGTCTTGGTGAGGATGGTGACCGTATTCTGTCCTGTGTGGCTTCTCCATTTTTGCCATGTGCTTAGAGTGACCTGTCAGGATATTTATGCATCTTTAATGACCTGAGTGCTTGTCGACTGTGTCAATTTTATCTTGCATTTGAAAGCCACAGACTAGTGAACCCTGCAGCCAAGTTGAATGCAGAGTCCAGAGCTGTTAATAAGCCTGAGGAGGCTCTCTCCTTAGTTACCTAAAACATGTGCTAAAGGAGCAGAGGAAATCAGCTGGCTGAGACACCTATCTCCTGTCACAGAGATGGGAGACCTAAGATGCCAAGCGGGGGCATCTCAGTCCAGGGCAAAATTCTTTGGGATGTCACTGAATTGCTTGCTTACATCCTTTCTCAAACACCTTCTCAGGTCTCAGGGTGACCTGTTCAATCTCTATGTCTTGTCACAATGCACGTTCACTTGTGTTCATTCATCTACCCACAGGGGCCTCCAAGGAGCCACCACCCACTCCAACCAGCCTCACAAAGAAGCAAGTGAAGCAGAAGGTGGAGAGTCTGACCACTCAGCTCCAGGTGATGACCGCCCAACGCAATGATCTGAGAGATGGCCTCATCTTAGTAACCGAAGGATCCTTGGACAACAGGTATTTACTGTTTCAAAATCCATGGTGACTGTCTCGGTTCCACAATTTCACCCTTAGTTTATTTTGTCTAAGAAATGGACTTCTGGGAGGTTGGGAGTCTCTTTGCCCAACACCATTTCTCTAAATGCTTCCCTGAAGCAAAACCTGACATAATGGGCAGGAGTGAGATGGGGACAGACTGTTCTGCTTCCTCCAAATGAAAATCAGAGCCTGTGGCCTGAATCACATAACTCAGTAATTGAAACAGTAGTGTGTGAGTTCCCAGCATGAAATTGGAGAGAACCTGTCAAGTGGTGGCTAGTGTGAGAATGCTGTTATTTATTTTTTTTTTACTTGCCTGGTAAGACATTGTGTGCTGGATGCTCCTAGTAGCAGCTGAAGAGGCCTGGTTCCACATCTTAATAAGTGGTAGCAAGGCCTGGTACTGATGTCTGCTGCTCTTGGTTGTCTCTCAGATGATACAACTGTGTGTATTAATTTGTGTCGCATTGAGAGCATTCTATCCCCTTTCCCTCTCTCAATCTCTGTATCTCTCTCTCTCTCTCTCTCTCTCTCTCTCTCTCTCTCTCTCTCTGTCTCTGTCTCTCTCTCTTTTCACCCCCTCCCTGACTCTCTCTTTCTGTCTCTCTCTTAACTATGTGTTTGTGTGTTTGTGCATATGTGTCCCTCTTCACCCTGCAATCAGGGGTTTGTGGTTGACCATGAAGAGTTGCTTATCTCAGTATCTAGGTGTGCTCTCTATTATGGACTGGGAGCCCCATTTTGAGCAGCATAGCCCTTTTCCATTCTGTTCACCTTGGTGCCAACTAGGAATGCCCTGGGGGAGTTTATGAAGCTATCATGATATTGAATCCCATCCTCAGAAATGCTCATGATATGATTTTAGCCTCCATGTCAATATAGGCACTCTGGAATGAGAATCTCTTATTTGAAAACAGAAGAAATGTCACAGTTTCTGGTGGGCCCAGACCTGTGATAGACTTCTGGGAACTGCATAGCAAGCTGTGCAGGACTCCTGAGGGAGCATATTCAGTCCCACCTGCATCCCTCTTAACACCCTGCCTCTGCTGGCTTGGAGCCAGAAGTGCAAGTATAGCAAGCAGCCAGAGGTCCCAGTAACATAGGAGCCAGGAAGTGGAATCTTATGGGCTGTAGTAGTACAGAACACACCCTACATTCATGTGCTATGTGACCTGTATTCATTGAATTCTTTGCTTCTGGGTCCAGGCTCTACCACAGGCCAAATCCTTTCTGGGAAAAGCTCAAGATGGAACATCAGCAGGTCATGTCAGACCTGCAGAATTTCGAGAATGAGAATATGGAGGCCTCACAGAAGCTCAGTGAGCTGACCAAGGAGAAAGTGTTCCTTTGGTAAGTGCTTATCTTGGCAGGGACCCCAACTGTTGTACAATGGGCAACTCTGAGTTTCTTTGTCTCTGGACTGCAGGGTCTGTAGATCTGTTTCTAGTTGTTCTGCTTCTTAGCCAGCAGCATAAGCAAGCAGCCTTTGGACTTATGCCTCTTTACTCAGTTTTGCTAAGGTTTAAAGAGACTATTAGCTCCTCCAAGCACAATAAGGTTTAAAGAGACTATTAGCTCTTCCAAGCACCATGTTGTCATACTCAGTAGCCTCTAGATCAGTGGTTATCAGCCTTCCTAATGCTGTGACACTTTAATACATTGCTTCATTTTTTTGATGTCCTCAAACCATAAAATTATTTTGTAACAATTTCATAACTCTAATTTTGCTACTGTTATGAATTTTAATCTAAATGTCTTCATAGGACATCTAATATGTGTCCCTTCTGAAAGGCTCTTTATATCCCAAAGGGTTCACAACCCACATACTGAGAACCACTGGTTAGAAGAGCAGTTGGCCTCACGAGAGGGTTGTCAGGCAGGGATGACTGCTATGGGATCTTTGCACCCTCTCAGTCTCCTTCTTCCCCAAGTGTACTTGCACATTACCTGCTGGTGTTTCCTCATGACAGTGGACTGATTAGGACAGGTGGAGTACTCCTCTTGTTTATGGAATTGCATGAATTTCTGTTATTTGGGGGTGTTTTCAGAAATAGTTTGATTCTTGCAGGAAATAACTGTTCTCTGCTTTTGGTCTTTAGTGCCACTCTCATTATTGTTGGAGGTTTCTGTTTACATCTTGCTGTGAACCTGGAATAGGGTTGGGTTGTTGAGGCATGGAGTCAGGGGTGACCAGTATAGACTGGCAAGGTCTTACTATGCAGAGTGTGTTTCCAGTGATCTGCAGAGCTGGCTCCTGATGGAGCAGAGTCAGCTCAAAAAGAAATTGGACATGCTGAGGCAAGAGAAGGAGAACCTACTGGAGGATTGGGTCAGGCTGAAGCACCACTTGGGTGACTTGCAAGTGCTCAGTAAGGATCAAGAAGAGACCAGTGACCTCCAGAACCAGCAACAGCAGGTAGGGACAGGCAGCTGGGTCACAGTTAGGTCCAGCATCATTTACTTATGTAACCTTACCAAATCTAACCATCCAGACACCTGTGCTCTATCTCATCACTTTCCTCATTCATACACCCATCCATCCACCCACTTCATGACATAAAATTGTTCATTCTGTGTCTGTGCATTAGTATTTCTAAGAAGTGAGTCTCCTCTGAGAATCTTGGTTATTGTCATTGGCATGCAATCCCTGATGCTCTTCTTGAACCTATAGTCAAAGGGGGGAAACAGGTCAATCACTCATCACACAGCTACATGTCGTTATGATGGGAGGATTGCTGTACACAGACTTGAGTTCAAGAGTAAAAAATTCTCTAACCACCTCCACACAGACTGACTAAGCCGAGTATGTTCCCTTAGGCCATTTTAGTTCCCAGGGATGGAAAGCTGAGTTTGGGGACTTTTCCTAAAGGCTGGTGTGCTTATTCTAAAGATAACTGCTCCTCTATCACTTTGTTTTTTTCATCTCACCCCTTTCTCTATCTCTTTCTGTCTCTTTCTGTGGTGTGTGTGTGTGTGTGTGTGTGTGTGTGTGTGTGTGTGTGTGTGTGTGTGTGTAACAGAGGCATGTGGGAGTGCAGTGCATATTTCATGTGGATGACAGCTAGAGGAGACCACTGGGTTTCTCTCTTTGTCAGTCTCTGTCTTAGGAACTTGAAGCAGGCTTTCTCATGTGCCCATGAGCTTGAAATTTCGTGAGACTGACTGACCAGCAAGCTCTTGGGATTCTCTGTGTGTGCTTGCAGTTGTGTGAGAATGTATTGACTATACTATACTCAACCCTCCACTAAGGACACGATCTTCTAATGATCAGGAGCAGCAAAGAATGAAGGAGAGACTTCAGAGCTTGCTGAAGCAGAGGGAGTTGGTCACACAGCAAAAACATTTGGCAATAAAGCTGCAGTATCATTTGACTGTCTCCCAGATGAGGTAGGAACCCAGGCTGAAGTTGGGGTATGGAGCCAATTGGGTCCCCTGTACCAGGGCTCTCTGTCCTTTGTGGGCTTTTGCTTATCAGCAAGACTCCCTGTTCCAAGCAAGGGTAGACCAACTCAGAACTCAGAGTATTATGCTGGTCCCGTCAACAAGAACTCCTGTCCAGCAAACAATATGTTTGATACTCCCTGGGTCTGTACACTTGTGTCACATCGCTCCCTTCTGATCTCTCTGGTATGTTCTCAGCAGGCTTTCCTTGAACTTGTAGAGCTCTGCCTACTTATGCCTCCCAAGTGATGGGATTTAAAGGTGTGCCTCACCATATCTGAAATTACATATTTATTCAGAATATCACCTGTAGGGATGAGATTCACACTCTTGTCACTATTTGATGTCACACTGGCTGTCTTCATTGTTTGACGATTTCCCATGTAAAGTGTACTGGGGATATAATAAGTTTAGTCATTGACAGGATGAACCAAGGCAGATGTCTCTGCTGAGAATTGTTCAGAACCTTCACTGAGTGTTGTATAACAGACTCCTCCAGAGTACCAGGATGTAGATACCCAGCTGTAGGCCTAAGGATAACACAGCTGTTTTTGTTTATTGCCAGAGACCATGCAGTGACAATATTCTCAGATACATGGCTCAAGAAATACTGCTCTAGCATGAAAGGCTCCATCTTGTGTATTACCTGGGTGCAAGGTGCCTTCTGGGCAGGAGGCCTGTACTTTTCACATGACCTTATTCAGCTGTCTAGTTTGCAAAGTTGTATCAAGTCTATGTATAAAAGTGAGGTGGTCTTTTTAAAATTATTTTTTATTCATTTTACATATTAACCACAGATTCCCCCTTTCTCCCCTCTTCCCACTTCCCACACACCTTCTCTCCTAACGCTTCATTCCTTCATCCAACAGGGTAAGTTCTCCCATGGTAGCACAGCTAAGCCTGGTACTTTCTGTTGAGGCAGGCCCACGTCCCTCCCCACTTTATCAAGAGAGAGCAAGGTGTTTGACCATAGGTAATGGGATCCAGAAAGACAGTTCATGCAACAGGGATAGATCCTGATCACACTGCCAGGGGCCCCTCAAACAGAGCCAGCTACACAAGTGTCCCCCATATGCAGAGGGTCTAGTCCAGTCCCATGAAGATTCCACAACTGTCAGTCTAAATTTCCGAGTTCTTTTGAGCTTGGTTCGTTTGTTTCTATAGATTTCCCCATCTTTACCACCCTTGCTCATGTAATCCCTCTAAAAAAGAAAAAAGAAACACAGCTTGAAATTTTAAGGTTTTCTCTATCAAACCTGTGACAGCATTGTACAACATGGAAAGAAAAATAAAATAATATCAATTAAAATCAGGAACAAGGACAGGTGTGTGTGATGGTGCATGTCTTTCATCCAAGCTCTTTGGGAGCACAGGAAGGAAATCTCTGGCCTCTTGTAGCCATCCTAGAATATGTAGCAAGTCAGCCAGAGATGCATATTGTAACTCTGCCTAGAAAGAAATAAACAGAAATTGGACTAGCAAAAAAATGAGGTAGTTGATGAGAAACTCATCATGAACAGTCTGTGTATCTCTGCTGTGCTGTTATGTATGACTTTAATATGCTACTCCTTTTGTTTAAATGATGTCCCTAGAGTGTAGGAACGATCCTGTTCTTTCTCATTAGAGCACAGTACATACAGTACTCAGATCAACATCTAATACTTGTTAAGGGCAGAAAATAATTCAAGGTCCAGCTATTCTGTGACACTTATTCCTTAGAGACACAATGACTGCTACCAAAGATCAGTGTTGACTGTCCAGCACAATTGAGTTTTTGTGATATCACTGAATGACAGGTGACATGGTGGATCCCCACCAGGACTCTGCCCTTACTAACTTCCTCCTCTAGGTCAGAAAATCTCCAATATGACCTGGAACAATCCACAGCTCAGGATGAGAGCCTTCTGCCAACAGAGCTGCTGCAGCAGGAGCACTAAGTGTCATAAGCAAGTGAGCAACCATGACATCCCATTCCCAGCAACATGGCATTTGTAGGGTGGAGTTCTTCCTTGATTCTGGTTTCCTATGTGTGAATAGGCCCTGAATTTATCCAGCCAGTGACCCAGCAAGGCTGTTTTTAGATCTGATTGCCTTTTCTTCTCTCACAGCACCCTTTATGAGAACCGAGAAGGATGAAGGAATCCATAGGCAACCAGAACCTTTGACATTCTCCACTCTATGATCAAGGCCTTCTCAGAACAAGACATGTACTACTAGTTGTAAAATCACCGGTGAGGCAAATATCATCTGCCCTGCTGTGGTCCATCCATAATCTGATCCATGTGTCTGCTGACTCACTAGTTACAGAGAAACCATCAAAAAGATGCTTGAGATAGAAAAAACCAGTAAGAATTATGCAGAAAAACTGACATCTACCAGCAAGTGTTCCCAGTGAGGGTCACAACAACATGGAGAAAGAATATGTTTCTGCTCATTGTTATTCTGAAAGTTTAGTGCTACAAATTTTTTTTGTTAGCTGACTGAATCATCAACCCTTCATATGTGGAGTAGAGCTAGATATGTCAATGGAGACTGTGTTGATGTCATGCTGCTATCCAGACAGACCACACAAAGGAAGCATCATATTCTCACTCCAGTTGAGTGCTGTAGCTACTCAATTTCATGCACAGGTGATGGTGAAGTGAATTGTTCTGAGAGATGATTTAGGAAGGATGTCACCATAAGCTGTTATGTCTTTTGGTAACACATGCTCCCCGTGTCATTTTTTGCTCTTGAATGGGCACACAGACACATGTTGGCAGACAGAATCATATAATGGCCAACATGGCATAAGATCAACTTTGGCAAGGACTTAACCTAGAAGCCCCAAAGTGGCATGACTACACTTGTCTTGAAGAAGGTATTTCAATTCAGGGTTGTCTTCCAACTTCTATCAAAAGCCAGCCACAGGATGTAGGACCCTGCACTAAATCTACATGATGAGAATGCTTCTTAGTGTAAATAGTTTTGGTTTGTTTTTGGGTTTGCTTGAATTGAGGTTTTGATGTTCTTTGTTTTGTTTTGATGTTTTGTTATTTTTGGTTCTTTTGTTCTTTCTTTGATTTTATATTTTGCTAAAGCTCTACACTGAATATACTAAATGCCTTTTTAAAACCCCTATTCAGTCAAATTTCTGTAATTTCATGAATAATAAGGCAATTTACAACTCTTCATTCTTAAAATACATTTTGTAGTTGGGTGTGATGTCTCACTTCTGTAACCATAGAACTCAACAGACAGAGATGCATCTCTGCAAGTTCTAGGAGGCTTAGGCTACATTGTGAGTTCTCAGCTAGACAGGATTACAAACCAGAATGATGTCTTGGGTGTGATTTCCATGGCCTACTCCACGAGTATCCACTTCATGGTGTAAAAAGATCCATATAAAACACCTGACTTCACATGTCTAGCCACTTCAAAAAAGGGAGAATAGATACACACATGTTCATGACGTGATCATTCATATCAGATTTTTCAGAAATACACCTATGTTTTCTAATGCATCTCAGGAAGTGAGAACATTTGTTACAGGAGTATAGAAGAAATGAGGAAACCTATAGCTCTCTGCCTTTCTTTTCCTGAAATACAGCACCAGTGACAGTGGCAATGCAGGGGTAGTAACCTTCTAAGACATATTGAGATGTGGTCTTTTGAATGTGCTGTTGCCTTGACTATTTATTTTGCATGGAATTTTTTTGAGATTCATTTACTTGTATTTATGTATATGGGTATTTTGCCAGTTTTCTATGCACCACCAGCAAGCAGTTTGCACTGAAGCCAGAAACGGCAATGGACTCCACATGGAACTGGAGTCACAGAAGATTGTTAGCTGATTTCTGGGTCCTCTGGGAGAGCTACACATCCTCTTAAAGGATGAGTGGTCTTTCAACCCCCTATACCTGACTTTTGTCCTTCCAGCCTTTCTAGTGTATTAGTTGGACTGGATCACACCAAAACAAAGAGAGATGTTTCTGGAGAATTGTAGGGACAGGACCATGAGGTAGGCATGGGAGATTACTTGGGATGCCAGGCATTCAAGCAGAGTGCTCCTGGGTTCAGGATCATCACTCAGCATCTCTTAAGTCAGAGTTGGAGCAGTTATGTCACCTCTCATTTAGATGACAATGCAGAGTAGGCCCATCAGATGAAATGCAGACTTTTAAGACCCGCCTGGGGATGGAGATGGGGTAAGATATACCTGTGATGCACCAGCTAAAAAGTGTTAAGTAGAAACTTCACATTTGTCTGGGTGGATGGTATCTGCAGCAAAAGCCACATACCTCTGGCGGAGAGTGTATCTCTGCAAGGCTTGAAAGGGAGAGGGATGGTTGATGCTGCACTTTCACCACAGCAGAAGTCACAGTGTATTGAGGAAAGGTTTCTTTCAGATGTGGGCTTTATTCTTCTGCAGTTCTCATGGAATGGATCTGAGCTGAGACTCACAGTAAGTCAGAGAGTTAATGTGTGAAGGAATTATCCTTGTAAGTTCCAGTCTCTTTCTCTCAAACCTAAGCTTTTTAAGATCTCTAAAGACAGAGAAGTAGGTGGTTCATTTCAGTTCCTTCCTTTCATTGGTCACTTCTCATTCTGCACTGACTCTGTCACAATACCTGTAGACACACTGGAACCAGCTGAGACTTCATTCATCCTACACTACCAATCACCAACTTGTGTCTCCCTGTACATCTTTCCATTATTGAGAAGGAGCCTATGTTCAGTCATGCCTTACTTCCATGTGAATACTCAGCATAGCTTTGGTTCTTTTGATAAATGCTACCCGATAGATTAACACAGCTTCTTCTTGCATTTGTGCAGATAGATAACAGTTTGCTATCAGCCTTTCTCAGACTAAACTGTGTAGAGTGTGTAATGTGGACTGGGGTGCTTCTTCTATCTCAGATAAGCATGCCTAGTCTTCAAAGCATTCTGTCAGCTACTCACATGACCATTCTTATGAGGGCAAAATTGACAGTTAAAGCTCATCTTGATGTCTGCCCTGTAGTAGTTGTAGCAGATGAATGGAGTTAAATGCCAGGAATACAACTTGGAGACAGAATACTTCCCTAGCACGTGCAATGTGTTAGGTTGAAAATTAGTACATTATGGATGATGAGGATGGAAAATTAACACTGTTACAACCTATGAAGTGAAATACAGCAAACTGTAGTTATTGTAGAAGCTTCTAAAATTCTCCCAACTCCATTTCTTGCCCTTCGTTAACTGTGGCAAACATTTATTTTGAGTATGAATATTTCCAATGAAGGATAGATATACACAGAGACCATAAACAGAGATATGTAGCTTATTAAAATCTGTGGCTTTGATGATGGGCTAGAAAGTGACTAAGCAGGTAAAGGTAATAGAGACATGCATTTATGTCCCTGGCACCCACCTTATTGATAGGAAGAATAAAAAAATCTGGCAGAAATTGTTCTCTGAATTGCATGTAGTTGAGGGTGCCAGGTCTTGACCCACTGAAACTAAGACAACTGTCTTCCCATTTCTTATTCATGCTAGAATATCTCCATCTGATGCACACATATCAATATATTACTTCATGTTCCATTTGAGTGATTTTGGACTTTTTCTTATTTTAGTTTGGTGACAAGGAACCATAGAAATAAAGAAGGCCAATATCAGATTAAAATGAGAAAAGCAGATTAAGAGAATGAAGATTTGTAGATTTGCTAAGACCTTTGTTACTCCCCAAATGCCCCAACACATCTTCTATAGATGCCTGGCTAACAATTATTTATTGTATCTTTCTTATTCTCTCCAAGAGCCCATACATTGTTTTGAATGTCAAGACAGTCTATGGCTTGCCCGTGCCTCACTGATGCTGACAGACTCCTCTAATGAGGATAACATGTTCTGAATGATTCAAATTTGGTCCAGGTCACTATCATTGCCTTCTGTTGTCATCCATATTCCTCTTAGCTGTGAGCAGTCTATACTCCACCCAGAGCCAAGGAATTCACAGAAGTAGCACTCCTGAGTAGGACCCTGGGATGAACATGGTAAGAGTAGAGAACTAATGGCTGCAACTTGTCCATTGAACCTCAACCATGCTCTGGCACATGTATGCAAACACATATATAAGTATACAGATGAATAAATGTATGAAAGTTTTGAGAACAGAATTCAATATCAGGCAACTCTCAACCTATTCTTGTCAAGTGACACAGACATTTATGGGGAAATGATGAAGAAAAACCATGTTTCTGTCGAGATTTTTAAACAAATGTTGTTTGAAAGAAGATGAGGCTGCCAGAATGATGCTGGTGGGGGGCACCACAAAGGCTTTGGATGTTCTGGAAGGTATGTTTCACATAGAGGATGATGACTTGGCTCTGTGCATGACAATAGGCACACACACACACACACACACACACACACACACACACACATGTGCACACGCACACACATCTCTGATGTTTTCTAAATGGATAGAGACCCTCAGTGAGAAACCATTGACAATGTTGTGACAGTAGAGGGGAGACAATGTCTTTCCCCCTTCCTTCCCTGCTGTCTCTGTCACATTCCACTACCATTTAGCACTTACTGCACTCTATTTGTATTATTGTTATCTGTTAACAATCTGTCTTTTTCTTCCCTTAATAGTTTCATTCAGCTGACAATTATGGGAGGTTATAAGTGTCAGCAGGCACAAAGGGTAACAGTGAAGGGAACATCGAATAAAGATGAGCTACCAGGCATGGTGGTGTGGTGACATGCCACTGATCTCAGCACCAGAGAAGTAGTCACAGAATGATCAGGAGTCTGAGGCAAGCTTGGGCTACAAGAGACCCTCCCTAAGACAATAATATAAATAAAGATGAAGAACAGCCTGTCTTCACAGTGGAGAGAGAGCTGATGGAGCAATATGTGGAAACATGGCCTGACTCGGCCCTGTGTGCTCTCAGGTTCTGTCTCCCAGAACATGTAGCAGTTGGGGATCTGAAGCCTCTTATTTGATAGACCAGCCTGGAGATCCTGCAGCAGGCACAACCCTGACTAGCCACACAAGAGAGTCAAGGCCTTGGAGACAATTGCTGGGCCTTTGGACATGAAAGCCTTCAGTCTAAGTCAGGGATGCTCTCCAAGCTTACATGCAGTCATAAGCATCTTGGATACTTCCTAGAGGAGATTCATGTGGGCCTGGCTCACTGGAGTCTTACTGATAAAGTGAACAGTGTGCAGACAAGGCTTATTATATTATTGGCCTGGCCAAAGTGTCTAGGCCAAAGCTCAGGAATCTGCATGTCACCAAGACCATCATTGGCAGTAGTTATCAACCTTCTGAATGCTGTGACAG